CCCCCCCCCCCCCCCCCGGTCAAGGCCCGTCCCACGTGAGCCCGTAACCTTTCACCCAGATTCCCGCCCCCGCTCCAGTCCCAAGAAGGGAGGGCGTCGGTCTCCCCTCGTCCAATCCCAGCCCACGAGGGTCGGCCGCCAATGCGCGTCTCTCTCCTGGTGAGGGGTCGTGGGGGGTGGTAAGGCCTCGCCCCGAGGTGGGTGTGTCCTTGCCACGTTCCATCCAATCTTATCCCCCGGGGGGCGGGCCTCTCGCTCTCCCGGCACCGAAGTGGGCGGAGCTCGTCCTCTCCTCGCCCAATCGGGTCCCGCGGTGGTGGCGGCTCCGCGCGGCTGTCTCGTGCGGGGGGCGGGGGGTGTCTCGGCGGCCTCCGGCCCACTCCCCTCCCGCCCCCTCCCCGCGGTGGGCGGGGCCAGGCGCACTAAGCTCTCGGAGGTCTGGCTCGGGCGGTTGGAGGCCAAGTGGTCCCAGCGCAGGCAGCACAGCAATGGCAGCGGCGGTGCTGAGGCACGGGGGCCGGGTAAGCCTGCGGGGCCTGGGGCGGAGGAATGGGGGTGCCCCCTCCCTAGCGCCCCCGGAGGTCTCCGCCCCGGGACCCCGGACTGCAGGAAGCGAAGGGCCGCCGGAAGGGGGTCTTAGGACCCAGGATTAGGAGTTAAAGGACCCTTGGAGGCAGCGTAGACCGAGCCTTGCCTTTGGCAGATGGGGAGACTGAGGCCCCAGGGGGGACGTGATCCGCCCCGGCCCGAGGGTCCACAAGCGATGGGTGGGGGTCGCTCAGGACCCCCCGCTCCTCCTCTAATGAGCGCTCCTCCCCAGCAGGTGCCTTAGGTGTGTGGGCAGCCCCCAGGTCAGAGGTCAGCGGTTAGCGTTCTGCCGAGCCCCGGCCCTTTGGGCGACTGAGGCTGGTGGAGATGCCTACGGGGAAGACAGGCGCAGGCTGCCAGGGGGTGGGGTGGGGTGGAGGGGCTGCACACTGGGCCAGTGACCCGAGCGGTGACCTTGGGCTGGACTCTGGGCTCTCAGCAGGGGGTGGGGGCAGGGTTTCCTCCAGAAAACAGCCGGACCTGCCCAGAAAGTGGCCGAGGGTGACCTGGGTGTGGGTGTGGGGGCCGGCGGGCCGGGGTCGCGGGGACCTAAACCCCCAGAAGCGAGGGACGCTTTGTGGTCCGGGGGGAGCAGACCTAGGCGCCTCGTGCTGGGCAGCCCCTGGGCCGGTGCCCGGGCGCCCCGCTGCGGCGGTCAGCACCGGCTATTTCTCTCCGGACAGGCGCTTCAAGGCTTCTGGAGGTCCCAGCACACCAAGACTGAGCCCAAGCAGAAGGCGCCGACGGGCTTTAACTTTGGTAAATATCGCCCGGGCTGGTCAATGTCCTCGGGGCTGCGCACGTGGTGGCCTTGTGGTTGTGGGTTTGGGTCTGGGTCTGGGTCTGAGTCTGTGTTAGGCAGCAGCGCTTTGTACTTGGGTTGGACACACCCACCCGCCCTGGTCAGAAGTCAGGGCTGACCGCATCCCCCACCCCCCACCGGCATCGGCAAACGTCCAGCCGGCGTACTGACCCTGACCCGCACCGGAATCACGATGTACCGGCAGTTTGTGTCTAAACTGCTTTTGGGAGCTCACAGTTTCCACGATGATGAGAGACTTCAAGCCGGGCGTGTCCCAGTTAGTCAATGAGCATTTACCAAACTGAGGGCCCCTGCCCTCACTAAATGTAACCTGACCCCAGTAGAGATCCGCCAAAGTCCTTGGGAATGGGGGCAGGATCCGTCCAATGCAAATTTAGGGTTAGAGTAACCTGGGCCTGAGTCTAAATGCCCAAGGAAGTGACGGGGAGAGAGGGGGAGGGCCTCTCCCCTTCCCAGAGCCCCTGGCACAGCATGTTGGGGCAGTCTGCCAAGGGGAGGAAGGCCAGGGCTCTCACTGGAGGAGCTCATGTTCTCCATCCCTGGGCAAGCAGAACCTCATTTCCTACTTTTCCTGGGTGGAAATCTGCACTTGAGCAAAAATAGGTGGTTTGCATTTCACCCTCTTTCTTCTTCTATTTCCGCACCCCTCCCCTCTTGTGAGCTGCCCTGGCATCTCTGCTCTCTGCAGAAAAGGGCAGTATCAGGAGCATGTATTAAGCACCTACTGTATACCAGACCCCCGTGCTAAGCACTGAGAGTACACTGAAGGGCAAACTCAAAGTCCTTGTTCTCAAGGAGATAACAGTCTAATGAGGGAGACAATATGCAGGTGAGAGTCTCCAGGCCAGAAGTGAATGGAGAAGTCCTCAGGAAGGTGGGTGACTAAGGACAATGGGGGGCCCGGAGGGCGTGGGGTGGTTTGAGCTGTGTCCAGTGTGAGCAGGAGTCTGGGATGGTGGGGAGAGTTCGCTTGGAGTCAAGAAGCCCCGGTTTTCTCCCCCTCTCCGTAAAGTAGCCAGAATATCTGGAGGAATTAACTGGCCAACTCATTATCGCCCAGGTGTCAGAAAGCAGGCAGACTGATTGAGATGATTCGCACTAAGGTGTGAAAGTCCCCCATCTCTTCCAGATATACTTGTGTTAAGCAGAATAAATCTCTGGTGGAATTTCAGAGAAGAGGACAGAAGTGAAGTGAGAGCATTTGGATCAGAGGTGGCTGATGTTTGGGCGTGTGGGGATAAGCCTGCAGTGAGGGCCGGCCTCTTTCCCCCGTGCGTTCCTTCTCTTTTGTCTGCGTGCTTTCTTCCCGGCCTTGTGGAGGAGCATCATTTGTGGGGCTGGGGGCAATCATAGAAAGACGGCCAAAGTGTGGCATTAGGCCAGAGGCAAGGCAGTGCTCCGTCTCTGCTGTTCTCTGAAAAAGAGTGACAGCCATCCTCCCCTCTTGGTGCTGCCCATGGCAACTTGCCAGCCCCAGGCTTGTCTCCCCAGAGTCAATAAGGAGGTAAAGAAATTGGAATGTGGCTTTTTGAGTAAGGGAGTGACCAGCACTGAATGGCGAGAGCAGAGTGGGTAGTGCCGTGGTCAGAGATATCAGGCTGAGAGGAGTGATTACGTGCAGACGTTGATGGGCACGCTTAAATAAACAGGGTGGTCCAAGTTAGTCTGCTGGAGCGAAGGTGAAGGTTTTTCAGGGCCATGTCAGCCCCTATATGGGTTCTTCCCTTTGCGGTCCCTGAGCCAGTAAAGAATCAGGTCAAACTAGGGAAGGAGAGAAGTGCTTTGCCCTTGGGCAATTTCCCAGTCCAAATAGAAACAATTGGGAGTTGTCCAGGGTTCTAGTATTACCTGTTTGGCATTGATTGTGCTGTAAGTGATTTCAGCGTTTGGAGCCTGAAGAGACAGGAGGAACTCTGTATTAATCCTTTATAAGTAGGCCTCCATTTCCAGAATAGCCATTTTAGCATGCTAGACCCCGTTCAAAGCTTGTCTGAAATAGAGACTCTCTTTTTCAAATAATCCTGCGGGGACTGTCTTTGGGGTTCAGAGGCTGCTCCCTACGTCGTGCAGCGCAAGTCTTTCTTTAAACATTGGGTGTTTGGCATGTGAACACCCTAAGTTCTTGATCTAAGAGCTCCCAATGCCTTAGCCTGGCATGAATGCCCCCGTGGTCTTCCTCTCCTTGTTTTTCCCCCACCTCTCCATGGCCCGGGGGGCATACCCGGGAGTACATACCGCTTCTGTACTGCTGTGCACACTGTTCTCTCAGCCCGCAATGGGTCCTTTCCTTTTCCGCTGTCTTTCCAGGCCCTGCTGAAGGGCCACCTCCTCCATAGCTCCTTCCCTCACCGTCTGAATTCTCGGAATTCTCATGTTCTTGGGGAGGAAGAGACTTTGGAGTGTGGCTTGTCCTATGCCATCTTTCACAGATGAGGGAACTGGGGCCCACGAAGGTCACGTGACTTGTCCAAGCACCCACAGGTGGTGGGCATCCCCCTGGCCTCCTTCCGTGAAGCTTCCTTCCTGGGACTTGTGCCCTTCGCCCTTCTCTTTAATTTGCTGATCTGTGTGTGGGAGCGATGATTAAGCATGAACCTGTTTTCCTCTGAGACTGAGGACGTCGATTGTGCTGATTTATCGTCACTTCCCAGAGAGATGGCCCGTGAAGGCTCCTGGAATGCATATATTGTACTTGTCTGTGTCTCAGGGTCTGAACACTAAGTAGATAGTCCAGAGTCTCTGTTTAGTGAAACAGTAGTAAGTAGAATGGGGAGCTGGGTGGTACAGTGGGCCTAGAGTCAGCAAGACCTGAGTTCAAATCTGGCCTCGGACACTTTCTAGCTGTGTGATCCTAGTCAAATCACTTAGCCCTCTTTGCCTCAGTTTCCTCATCTGTCAAATGAGCTGGAGAAGGAAATGGCAAAGCACTCTAGTATCTTTGCCAAGAAAATCTCCAGTGGGGCCATGAAGAGTTGGACGTGACTTGAAAATACTGATCAACAATAATTAGAAGAATTGTGTTTTGGTGCATTGCCGTGTTGTGACCCCACTTCTTGAGATGACGATTGCTCCGTGCTCATCTGGGCGTAGGATAATCCGGGATGGGCTGCTAGGGGAAGGGGACGCTCCAATTAACCAAAGATGCTCCTTGTGCTCGTTGGCCCGGGTACCCATTTTGGTTTCTTCACCCTGTTGTGTTAGCGTCCTGGTCAGGCAACCACACTTGTACTATGTACATGCCCTTTCAACACCCCAGAGTTTCTATCGGGCCTGCCTCATGGGCCTCCTTTAATTTTTACTGACTGACCTCCCCGTAGAGCTCACTGAGCAGCAGAAGGAATTCCAAGACACAGCTCGCAAGTTCGCCAGAGAAGAGATCATCCCTGTGGCGGCTGAGTACGACAGAACTGGCGAGGTCAGTGCAGGAGCCCTGGACGGCGCCAGAGGCATGGTCGGAGCAGGGGGAGGGGGGCATTTGGGCTCAGTGTTTTCACTTTCTCCCCAACTCTTTTCTTGTAGTACCCTGTTCCCCTTATAAAAAGGGCTTGGGAGCTCGGGCTGATCAACACACACATTCCGGAGAGTTGCGGTGAGCTGGCTCTTTTGCCTTTCTTGAAGGACTGTTCAGTTGTCAGGGTGAAATGGGGTGCGAAAAAGAAGACAGATGTGTGGTTTGCACCTCCCCAAGAATCCACCCAGAAGATGGTGATACCTAGGCTAGAGGGCAGCTCCAGCTTCCACTCAGAAACTGCTGGTTAAGCACTTGCTGTTTGCCAGGCTTGAATAAGTAAGAACATGTGGGTCACGCTGAAAACCAGCATTGTGCTAAGACTTCTATCTGACATCCCAGTCTCTGTCTCAGTCAATACCTCTGTCTCTGTCTGTCTGTCTGTCTCTATCTCTTTCTCTGTTTCTATCTCTGTCTCCCCATCCCTCCCTCCCTCCTCCTTTTCTCTCTCTATCTCTCTGTCTCTGTCCCCCATTCCTTCCTCCTTCCTTGTCCCCGCCCCTGTCTCTCCCACACTCTCTCTCTCTGACACTCTCTGTGTCTCTCTGTCTATGTTTTTCTGTCTCTCTATTTCTATCTTTGTCTCCCCATTCCTCCCTCCCTCCTCCCTTTCTCTCTCTCTCTCTTTCTCTTTCCCTCTGTCTCTCTGTCTATTTCTCTTTCTGTCTCTCTGTTTCTATCTCTGGGCCCCCTCTCTCTCCCTCTGACACTCTCTCTGTCTCTGTCTATATCTTTCTGTCTGTCTCTGTCTCTGTTTCTATGTCTGTCTCCCTTTCTGTCTCTCTCTTTCTCTCTCTGACTCTGTCTCTCAGTCTCTTTCTGTATGTTTCATTCCTCTATCTCTGTCTCTCCCTCTCTGTCTGTTTCTCAGAGATGATTGTAGAAGTCAAGAAAATAAATCTCCCAGAGATACCCCCCACTTCAATCCCCATCACCTGAGCCCTGCTCTTTCCTAGAGTGGTCCTCAGGCAGCAGAAACACTTGCCTATACTCCCAGCCTTAAGCCATTTTTGTGTGGGCACCGCCAGAGGGGAGACCGCATGCTGCTGCAGCCTTCAGGAAGCAGGCTCACTTCCAGCCACAAGGAAGCTTTGGAGTAGGAGTTTGGTAACCGAGTACCAGGGCAAGGTCAAGTCAGAGGTCCAAAGTTGGAGTCACCTATACTTTGACTTTGAATGATGCCCTTTGAAGTAGATACATGTTTCAGGTCAGGTTATGGTGCATTTGACCAAATTTGTGACATTATCCCCCTCTGTCGTCCCCAGTCTTAGGGAATTTCCTGGCCCGACGGAGAGCCTGCTTCCTCCCTAACCACAGTGCTGGGGCTCCCTCGCTCCTAGATACGGGACACTTGATGCATGTGGAGGGGTGTGGGAGAGGGAGGAAGAGGGATGTGACTGAGGTGCTGAACAGGGTTGGTCCGAGTTTCCTTCTGAAAGCTGTGGCCATTTTCTTCTGTGTCATATGGCTAGGCTAGAGTGTGTCTCAGACCCCGTAGCTGCAGTCCCTCTGCAGAGAATGCACACTTGAGCATCTGGCATTTAGGGCCTTGTCATTCTTGTTGGCCATGATTTGGGATTTGAGTTTTCATCTCCAGGAAGACAGCTTGCCCAGGCGGTGACTGAGTGCTCCTGCGCTATTCCATCACGGAGGCAGCCTGGCCCTCCAGGATGAGGGCCGGAAGCCCTGAATCTGGTCCTGCCTCTGCCACGCTCTTCCATGGGGGAAGGGGAGCTGGAGTCCAGCGCCAACCCCTGGAAGCACAGCATGGATGGAGCGCTTGGCCATAAGAAAGGGCTTGCTCTTGGGCCTCACCACATCTCCTTGGGACCACACTTTACCAGATGCAGCTGCAGAGTGGCCCAGGTGGGCCCCAGGCAGGCCCAGAGGGTGCCATCTTGTGGTCTTGTAGGTAGGCCCTGCATCCCTGCCGCATACAAAAAACCAGGCGACACACAGGAAAATAACATCAGAAACCGGATTGTTCAGCAGACAGGAAAGAAAAACCATGGCCCAGAGGACAGAAGGCCCAAGAGTGCGTGGTCTGTGTGCCCTGGAGTCATGCTGGGCCTCTACTCCTGGCCTTCCCAGAGGCTGGATCACCCTGCCTCAGTGATCCCATATAAAGTTGAGGAGGCTTTAGGCTCAGACTTGTGGCTGGTGAGGGGCTGCTGGTTGGATCTTGGGATACTGTGCTCCACCGTCTTGGGGCTCTGAGCCATGGTCACCTGCCTCTGCCACACAGAGCCCCAGGAAAGCTGCTCAGTGAGTCTGGCCTGGCTGGGTCCGTGGTGACCTTTCTCCCGCTTGCTTCCAGCCTGGGCTGTGCCAGGGCCCCACCTGTTTTGGAAGTTGATTCCGCAAACATTGTTTTCATTGGGAGTAAATACTCTAGTCCAAACCTGTGTTCTGCAGCCCTGGTGTGTCATGCCATATTTACGTTTCCAATGTTAACAGGTGGCCTTGGCCTTGGGATTTTTGATGGTTGCCTGATTACTGAAGAATTGGCGTATGCGTGCACAGGCGTTGAGACCGCCATCGAAGCAAATTCTTTGGGCGTAAGTGACCCTGGTTGTGACTCTGCCACAGAATGGGAGGCGGGGGCAGGCCCGGCACCCGCTGAATGGAGCTCTTGAGATTGCACTGGATAGTTTGGGTCATTGGAATGTCATTTCTAAAGTCCTTTCCCATTGGCACATTCCGAAGTTAGAGATGGGTATCTATGGGAAAGAGATGTTTTTAGACCCAAGGTATTATCAATTCCACTCTGGGGTTTATATTAGAATCTCTAATAGAGCTTGACCTGCTGAAAGTTTACACTCCCACAATCTCTTATAATACAGTGGAGTTTTGAATCATAGACTTTTACTTAAAATATTCTAGCATCCTCGATAGGTTTGAACTTCACTTGTGATTGATGGCTGAAGAATTATGCTGCTTCTGGGCGTGTTCCCCTGTGGCCATCTCAAGACTGCTCCTCTCTGGACCCCTTTTGGGATGCACCCTCCTGCCTGGGGTGTCTACACTACATTTAGCGGCTTGGTTCTGTCCAGTGTGGCCTGGCCACATGCTCCGCTCGAAGAGGCAGCCTCAGTGGGGGTGTGACTTTGCTGTGACTTTGGCCTTTTTTATGAAGCTCAGCCCTGGAGGGTCCAGCGGCCGCATGGCTTGTGTCACCAGCCACAGTGCAGCAAACAGACTACGCGGCCACGTGTGCAGGCCTCCTCTTAGCACCCATGCCTGTTGGAGTGGTTTTCTACATGTTTGAGCAGGAAGCGTTAGTCACGGTGTCAGGTTGAGGAAAGTTGTCTGGTGGTTCTGACTCTGTCGATGGCATGGCCTGTCCTTCTGGGAACTGCCCCGGGATGTGGCCAGGCATGCCTTCTCAGACCTTGGGCTTGAATTATCATCTCTGTATTCCGTATCTAGTGGCACGCGATCCTTTTCTAAAACCATCCTTTTCTTCCATAGCAAATGCCTGTTATTATTGCGGGGAATGAACAGCAACAAAAGAAGTATCTGGGGAGGATGACCGAGCAGCCAATGATGTGTGTGAGTAGTTACTGCTTGGGGACATTTACTCACTGACGGTATTCATTAGTGTCCGTTTTTGAAAGAGCTAAAAACAGTTGCTGCAGCGGTAGTGCGAATTAAAAAGTAACCCTCTGCACACAGGACTGCGGGTCTGGGTAGACAATCAGAAATCTAGGGATAGCCCCCAAAGTCTACTCTTCAGGTCCTTTGCACCCATTTCGCCCACACACACATTTCAGAAATTGCTCAGCACGGGTTGGACACAGTCATTGCAGGCAGCGCATACCTTTGCACCTCGGGCTCTTTGCCTCAAAGGGAGTATTTGTATACTTGGACTGGAGAGTTAACGTGTGTGTGTGTGTGTGTGTGTGTGTGTGTGTGTGTGTAATGGATTGGAAGCTTTGGAATAACAAGGGATTAATATTAAATTCAGACATGGAAAGCTATCCGTTGATTGAAAAATTGGGATACTTGGTGACATACTGAGCGTAAAGCTAGGCGGGGGCCTTAGAGGACCACTAGTCTGCATGCTGTCACTGGCCCACTGGGCCTCCACTGAGAAGCGTCAGAAGTAGGGCTTGGACCCTGGCCTGGGACTCCACCAGGATGCCTCCCAAGTGCTCATTCCCACCTTCCTTTAGCAGCAGAGCAACCGATGAACAAATTGGCGCCTGAGTGCAAAGCTGGAGCAAGGCTCCCTCTTGGGAGACCCATGCACTCCAGGGCTCTAGAACCTTCTGGAATAATCTCATGCCTGATTGTTCTTTGGAGGGCACATGCAAGAGATACAGTCACATTTCATCCATTGTACTAATATCAGTGAAAAATTGGAAGATTTAGAAATGTCATTATTTTGAAGCCATTTATATATTGGGCAGCTCGGTGGCACCATAATGCATAGAGCACTGGCCATGGAACCAGAAAGACCCATGTTCTTGTGATCAAATCCAGCCTCAGTTAACTAGCTATGTGACCTTGGGCAAGTCACTTAACCTTGTTTGCCTCAGTTTCCTCATGTGTGAAAATGAGCTGGAAAAGGAAATATCAATCCACTCCATAATCAGGCAGGACTGAAAAATGGCTGAACAACAGCAAATATAATTACTAGAATTAGGCTAACAATACATCCCAGGTAGAAGTCCTTAGGCAGGAATTACGGTATTGGTTGTATGTCAGTACGTGTTTCTGAAGCAGCTGGAATGGTTTCCCCAGAAAGGATTTTAAACAGCTCCTTTGTCTGTTGGGTCCCTCTTATCATCCCTCTGTCCAGGGGTGGTTTCCTGGAAGGTGGCTGTCAGACCAGCTGCTGGTAAAATGGTCATCAATTCTGAATTTAGGAAGGCTTTCAGTAGTGATGGGATGGGGGTGCAGCCTGCTTCTGCTCATGGCCACTTCTCTGCACGCCCCTGGTCCCTCCTGTAGTTCAGACCCTCCTTTAATGTGTCTTGTGGTACACTTGGACCCGAAGCCTCATCCTCTTCAGCATCTTCTCGGATAAGGTTAGGGGTCGTGCCTGGTGTGGGCAGCTCTCCAGTAAAGAAGCGTCCCCTGGCACGAAGACCAGCACCTTCTCGTCACTGAGGCTGAGGACTGAGGGGTCCAGTGACCTCTCCAGAGTCAGGACTTGAGCCCAGGTCTTCGTGGCTCCACTGAGCCGTGCCTGCTTAAATGTCCTTAAAGCTGTTGTGAGCCAGAATATCTGGGATTAGAGAGGCCCGCATTAACCGCCCTTCCCCCAACACACACGCACACACGCATGCACATGCACACACAGGCGTGCACACATGTACACAGGTGTGCATGCGTGCACACGTGCACACATGCATGCACGCGCGCGCACAGGTGCACACACACACGCGCACACATGTACACACAGGTACACACGTGCACTCCATGATGGTGAGCAGGAACAGTCCAGCTGTGGACACCACCTCTGATACCCTCCCAGGCCCCAGCCCAGGCTTCCACACTCACTCACTCAGTGCCCCTGTGGCCCCCGTGTGCCGACGCCCTCCCAGGTGCCTTTCCTAAAGGTTCCCTGGGGCATTCAGCCTTCCCCTCTAAAATACTGGGCAAAGACCTTGGGTCTGTACTTCTTCAAGTGAGGTCAGCAGACCATTCTATCTTTGTGGGTCCAGGAGCTGTTTGACAAGTCTCTCATGAATGTTTGTTGAATCCAATTGCCTGAATAGTGATAAGAGCGCCCTGGAGTGCAGCCGCTTAATAATTAACAGTGCCACAGAAGCTGAGGGCCAAAGGGATCTGGGAGGCCATCAGGTTGTCCCCTCTGCCCATTCTGCCTCCGAGGATCGCGCCAGGGGCTGGGGGGTTTCCTTGTGTTGTTTCCGTTGCTCCCATCTGGGGCCTTCTGCACGTGTGCAACAGCTTCTCACTCTGCTCTGAGCTAAGCCATCCCCACTGCCTCCTGGCCGCCGCCTCTGGACACTGTCCAGTGCCCAGGGCCTACCCCAGTGTTCCAAAATGCAAACCCCGCCTAATGGCAGGGGACAGACGAAAGCCCCCGAGGGCAGTGCAAATGAGGCAGGCTTTGGGAAGGAACCCTTCATTCCTGTCTCGAGCCATCCAGGTCTGCGGCAGATCCATGCACAAGTCCGTACAGTTTGCTCTCTGGATGAGAATGTGGCTTTACAAGAGGGAAATGCCCTTGTTGAGGTTGGGAGGGGAGGCCTATAATTAATTGTCTGATCATCTGGTGGGGGGAGTTTCATATTCTGTGCCTCGGATGAGTGCCACGGAGGAGCCGGAAGCTGAAACGTGTTCAGCTGAAGAAGGCCCCTTGCAAAGGCTGGAAGCGACCTCCTGCTGCTGGCTGGTCTGGCCCCAGACTTTGCAGGAGCACAGTCCTAGCTTAATTGCTTGCTAATTTGAAATTTTACTTATAAAATATTTGATCAGATATGGGCTTGTCATTTACGTTTTAGAATGAACAACTTCATAAGTTTCTAGGGTTAGATATTAATGTGGGGTGGAGGGGACGGGGCCTCGCGTCAGAAAGACCCGAGCTCAAATAGGGCCTCGCATACTTGCTGGCTGTGTGGCCTTGGACAAGTCACATCACTGCCTGCCTCAGTTTCCCTATCTCTGACATGGGGATCATGATGGTACCCCCCTCCTAGGGTGGTTGTGGGATCCAGAGAGTTCATGTCTGCCCACTTGAAAGGGCCCTAGACGTGCGAGCGGGGATTTCCATGATGATCATTTATTTAGAGCAGCCAAGGTTTGAGGCCCTGGCTTGGCTGTTTTGGTAGACAGATCTACCCTAATTCTCAAATGCCTTCATGCCCTTAGTGTCTAAGACAGTTGTCGTTGAACTTTTATTGTCATTGACCCTCCAGAAATTCTGTTAATTCCTTCATCAGCCCGGTGACTCAACAGTCGGCCTCCTTCTTCACTGGTTCGTGTGCTGGTGATCCGCGTGGCAGGTTTGTCATGTGGCCCGGGCCGCGTAGGTTTTCCTTCCAAATTCCTGTGAAGTGCAGGCGGCTCGTCCAGGACTGAGTGCCTCGTTCCTGGATCTGACCTCTGCAAGCCCCGAAAGAGTGGTTATCCCCTCATCATTTGGGACAGAAGGCGCCACTCCCTGTGACCGAGGAGGAGGAGGAGGAGTGGCCGGTGTGAAAGGAGCGCCGCGGACCCTGGCCGACTGCATCCAGCGCTCTGCCCTCGTGGTCCCCCGCCTTCCTCGGCCAGGAGGAGTCTGGGAGTTCGGCTTCCAGCTCGGCGTTCTTGCAGCTCTGCTCACCTCGCTCCCATCCATTCATGCCCATCTTCCTGTGAGCTCTCATTCTTCCTCGTCTCTCACGCCACAGTCCCGTGGGCGCCACGCCCCGTTTCTGGCGGTCTTCCATTCATCCGTGGCCCTCTGCTTTGTTTCCAGCGCCCAGAAAGAAGGGCTCTCTTGTCTGGGCAGTTTAATCAACGTTTTTTGAATTATTTCCATGCCAACCCTGCCGCTGGTCTTCCAGGACAGAACCACGAAAGTAGTGGTGGTAGTAGCTGTGGTAGCGCTAGCGAGCATCTGTGCAGGTGCCTCCTGTGTGCCGGGCACCGGGCCACGTGCTGTGAGCCTCACCGCAACCCTGGAGGAGACAGAGCTACTGCTGTGACCCCCATTTTACAGATGGGGAAACTGAGGCAGACAGCAGTTAAACAGCTTGTCCAGGGTCCCACAACTAAGAAGGATCTGAAACGGGATTTGAACTCGGCTCTTCCTGATACTAGGTCCAGCACTGTCTGGGCTGGAGCACCCCGCGTTACAGAGTGGCCCCACCGAGGAGCCTCTCAGCCTGACAGAGGTGTTGGAGTGGCGAGGGCTATCTGACTTCAGACGAGATTTCCCAGCTCAATCCAGCAAGCATTTGTGAAGCACCTGCTGTGTGCTGAGCCCAGCACTAGGTGCTGGAGCGGTCTCTGCCCCCAAGAACTCCTAGTCTGTTGGGGAGGACCTCTTTTTAGGAATGTCAGGGCCTTGGAAGCCAGGGAGGGCACAAGCATTGGGGATGAGGAAGGGCCCCTCGCAGAAGTCGGTGCCCGTGCTGGGTATTGAAGGAAGAGAATGCGTCCCGGGCAGGGCCGACGGGCATCACAAAGGTGCGGCGGCCGGAGAGGCCGAGCTGGGTTAGAGATGGAGAAAAGGCTGCTTTGACTGGATTGCAGTCTGTGGCGGGGCTGGGGGGTGGGGAAGGAATGCCCCGTACCAGGGGCCTGGAAAGATGGTGAGGGCAAGGGCAAAGTGTTTAAAGCGGAGCAGAGGAGTTTGTGCGTGACCCTGGAGGCAGGAGCAGATCTTCCCTTCAGGAAGACCCTTCAGCAGCTCTCTGGGGGTGCAGAGAGACTCCAGGGGGATGGGAGCGAGGAAGTGACCCTTAGGCCTTGAGTGACTTGAGTGACGAGGTCAGAAGCCAGACTGAAGAAAGGAGAGCCAGACTGAAGGAGTAGAGGTGAGACACAGAGGCAGCCGCTTTCTGGGCATCTGAGAGGGAGAGGCAAGCTTAGAC